GAAGCGCATGTTAAGTTAACAGTGAATGTTATGCTAACAGTTAATATAATTTAACAGCGAATGTTAAGTTAGTATCGAATGACATGTTCACAGTGAATATTAAGTTAATAAATAATTTTAAATTAACAGCGTTAACATTGTTAAAAATTAATTGTAAGCTAACAGTAAATGTTGAGTTAACATTTAATGTTAAGTTAACAGTGAAGGTTGAGTTACCAGTTAAGGTTAAGTTATCAGTTGTACAAATTGGTTTTCCTTTAATAAAATTTAGTAACAGAAAAATGTTATTCCTTTAAATTACTGGTTCGGTGGCAGCGATTTACAACAGTCTTCATGCTCGAAATCATAGAAAATTTTATGTTTTTCAAAAAAATTTAAAATTTAGATAACAATCTTTTCAACAACCAATACTGGAGCAATGGTCGATATTTTAAATTAGTACCACAAATTCTACAACAGCATTGTCCCACTTAATCGGCTTTAATAAAATTCCTCAAGCTAGAAAGGTTATGTGCTCTACTTTTTTCCACCAAAGTTAACCTTTTCCATTTTATTTTTTGTGCATTTCTAATTTACTTTTCTTATATTTGTTTCGCTCACTTCGTATATTCTTTGCTTAACTATTGCAATCTGACTGCCATATTGGCTTTTGAAATTATTTTGAAAACTTAAATGAAAACTCCCAAGCCAAGTAACTTTTCGTTGCTTTCGCACAAACGAACAACAGCTTGACGTGCAACAAGAAAAATAGCAAACCAAAATCGGTCACAAAGTCGACCAACTATGTGTTTTTCCTTTTGTTGTAAGTAGTTAGTATGTGCTTGGTGTTTGTTTTGTTTTTGCTTTTTTGTGTGACCAACAACAAAGCTTGTTATTGTTCTGGCCGTAACTTGCTCGCATTTCATTGTTAAATACATGTGTGTGTGTGTATATTTGCGAGTATTAGTTGGCTTTCTGATGTATTTAGGAGCTCCACTTTGTCACTTAGTTGCACATCCAACTCATCGCGAAGTTACCGTTAAACTTTTCAAGTTTTGTGCCTGTGTGTGTGTATAAGTTTTATAGATTTTCAGCAATGCCAGTTTGGAAATTTAACTAACTTTTCTGCGTACAAGCAACTAAAATGTGCATGATAACTGTACTTTACGCTGTTTATTGCTGCTTGCTGGATGACATTGCTTGTACGTGTGTATGTATGTGTGTGCCTTTACGCTTTCTACCGCTGTGTGAGGTCAACTATATAGTTGATTGTTGGAAATCAGTAAGTAATACTTTACTCAGAAGTTAACTTGGTGAGTGGAAAAAAATATTCGAAGATACAGTGATGTGCAAAATAAAATGATAATTTCGAAAATTGTTTCGAAAATTTTAAATTTTTTTGTATTAGAACAGAGAACCTTCTTTTTGTTGATGATAAATAGTATAAATAGCTTAGAGACTTTAAAAAATTGTTGTATTAAAAAACGAATATAATTTCTGAACTATAGTATGTTAAACATTTTTCAATACTAGAAAATATATTTTAGACAACATAAACATTTACTGCTAATATAACATTCACTGTTAACATAACATTCACTGTAAACTTAATATTCCCTGTTAACTTGACATTTGCTGCTAAATAATATTCATTGTTACTTGGCATGCAATATTAATTTAACATTCACAGTTAACCTGAAATTCGCTGTTAAATTACGTGTACACTTAGTACACAATATTTCACATTATATTTGAAAGAAGTTAACTCGACAACTGGAAAAGATATATTGAGATGTGCAGTCATGTGCAAAATGTTATGAACATTTCGAAAGAATTTTTCGAAAAGAAATTTCGAATTTTTCATCGAACATTTTGGATTTTTGTGTACGGGAACGGAGCCTCTTCTTATGACAAAAAATGTTAAATTAAAAAAAATGTTGCGGCTTTTTGAAGAAATTTAGCTGAATTACCAATATAAAAAAAGCATTCTCTAATTAAAAAAAAAAGATTTTGTTTCAAATTAAAATTTGTCAAAAAAAAACAAAATATTTGGTTCCAAATTAAAATTTTGAAAAAAAAAATTTAAAAAAAAATTATTTTGAAAAAAAAATTTAATTGTTGAAAAAAGTAAAATTTATGTAATTAATGGTAAATACTATTTTTTGACTGAAAAAAATTGTAATTATTGAAAAAAAAATATTTTTTACCGAAATCCAAACCTCAAAGACTCGTTGAAGAAATATTATTGCACGTAAAGGAAGCACTTAACCATTTTTCAAAAATGTATAACTCGTTGTGTCCAAGCTATATTGCCAATTTAATTTTCATTATGTACCATAAATGACAAAAAAGATATTTGAATTTTAAATTTTGACATTTTCGATTTTTAAATTTTGATCTCTTCAATTCTTACTGATAAGTTTTAAAATTAAATTCTCCTTGAGTTAACTACTGTCTATTCGAAATATATTTACTATTTAAAGTATATTTATATTAAACTTATATAATTTTTATAATTTTCTTCACATGACAGTATATACGTATGTATATATTATATATTTACTTTTCATAGTAAATTATAGTCTTATTCAAATCTGAGTTTCGTGCGAATCCCATTCAGCAAGCTCATTTAGTTGGCTTAAGAGAGCATGATTTCGAGTGAAACGCATTTAAATGTTTGTTACAAGAAAATTTCAAAATGCAAATGTTAAGGCCAAGCTTTCAAATATGCTTTCATTTCTGTGAATGTGCAATACATATTTTAAAATTTCCAAAGAAAAGTTTTTAATTTAAAATTTATAGCATTCGTAGCTGCGGAGATCACTCATACGCCATAGTGGTCCAAGCATGAACTACAATTCTTGGTAGCTGCGTTGTTGCCATTTTAGCTATGGTTCACAAATTATATGCTTTTTCGAGAAATCCAATGAATACTTGGAAAACTAGTTTATTTTTGCTTTGCTATATACATATACATATATATCAATATATACATATCATGGTATTGTAGTGAAAGTAGTTGGAATTTATTGTGAATTATATGTATGTATGTCGAGTGGAGGCAGTGACAGTGGAGCATATCTAAGCAGAGATAATATTTTTAATTTTCAGTAGAGATGTGTCTGCTTAATATACATTTTCATAAGGCATAAGCACTGCACATTTCTTTAGAATTCATAGCAAAATTGTAAAATTCTCTAAAGCAATATTTTTCTTGTAAAGAAATAAAATCAAAAATTGTTGAAAGTATTTTTTGCTTGGTATAGTTTGGAAATCGGATTGATATATATATTTTTTGAGTTCATAACAACAATATATCTATTCAATAAGATTTTCCTCAAGGTCCCTCAAGGGTGAGTTCTTAACGTAGGGTATAGGTATTATCGCTTCTTATAACGGTCTTCAAACATTTCGATAGCGGCTCAATGGTATGAGGCTTCGAAAAGGTAGCGTCCCTTTCAACCTAATATGTGGAAGAACAATTCCATGAAATATCGTGAAACTTATACAGTATTCTAGTCAAAATATTTTGAGGTACAGATTTTGAACTCCAGCATTACTAGAACTGCTGCGGTTGGGTAAGTGCGTTTTGCCCCTGAAGCTCAGACGTAGACGATCCTTTGCAGCTTCCATATTTGAAGACCTACCGAAGACTGCATTGCCTTCGATGTCAAACAACCGCTTTATCAGTGACAGTAGGCCTTACGATCATAGTATACAGACAACTGATGATACCTGGCTTGCAGCTCCAGGATCTACCAGCTAGGCATCTGCATATCAAGAGTGCGTTGGTGGCTCAGGACAATGTTAATTCCACATGCTTGTTCCACCTTAAAATTGAATCTAATGTGAGATATAGGAATTTGAACTCTTTAGATACCTCCAGCTCTCTCCCTCCTTCTCTGCCACCAACGGGTAGAACTCCACCCTGCGGACAGCCACTCGTAGTATCAAGATTAATATTTCTCTCCCCCACAGTGATTTCAGCTATGATCATTATCTTATAAACCAACAATACTGAAATAAAATTCGTAAAATAAAACCCAAGTTAATGCGACGGAACATATGACTAAAGCTTCACATAAACGATCCTTTTACCCTGTGTTGAAATTTTGTCATCTTCAAAATCTAAATAAGACATTCTAAGTCTCCTCTAAGAAAAATATATATATACCCTATAAACAAGTACTCAATCCAGTAGGCTTTAATCCCCTTCACATACGCACACATAGGTATATTTATACACATGTCATTTTCTAATTGCAATATCTTCTACAACCTTTCCCATGCCACGTCATTATGTTGTGTACCCCTCCCATTGCTTAATGTGCTTATAAAATGAATGAAATAATATTTTTACATTATCACGTTCCTAATTACAAGTGCACAAAAGTACGACAATACATTCTATAATCCCACATTTTTTCGCCATCCACTTTTATTTGTATGACATGCTTTTACAAGCCACCATTGTTTTTGTTGGCAACGTTATCAACAGCAGTGCAGAGCAGTGATGTGGTTTTGTGCACACACACACACACACACAAACACAACATTGTTATCAGCATTGTGCTTTTGAGCGAAAGCCATTGTATTTTGTAGTTGTTGTTGTTGCTCTTGCTGCTGTTAGGTACATATTTTTATACCGTGTCATCTTTTATGAGTATTCACCACATAACGGCACTGCCGTCTACTGTATAACTAAGCTTAATCGCCATACTTGTTGGCGCTACATATGTGTGTGCGCGTGTGTTATGTATGAATGCATATGTATGGTAGGGATAGTAAAGATGTACATGGCGTGTTGCCCTGAATTTTAATTACACCACTGAGACAGCAAAATAACGTCGCACCCTCGATAACAAGCGATAAGTTCAGCCAATCCTTTTATGCTTGACTTTTGTAATGGCTTGCGTATATACATATATACATACATACATAAACATATAAGCGTGTGTGCTTTTTCTTAGTCCTACCTTACATTTACTCACTTATATAACAATTCATTTGCTTTCTTACAGTTATCGCTTCACACAAATCGCTGTGGATGCGCAGATAAAAACGCCCGGCGGAAAGACTTACGACGTAATATTCATCGGCACAGGTAAGTGAACAAGAGTTACAGTGTGGTAGTGTTAGAGAAAGAGAGAGAGAGAGGGATAGAAAGAAAGAAAACGAGACAAACAGGAGAAATAAAAAGGCAAAAGAGAGTGTGTGCTTATAATCATGTTGCAACAATGCTGTGAGTTTTTTAAGGGGTTTGGTTAGTCAAAAACCCTATATAGTATTCGATCTGAAAAATTACTTCGGAGATTATATCGTTGTCTTGGAAAACATTTGGAGAACAATTTATGCCAAATTTCGTGAAGATATCGTGTAAAATAAAAAAAACTTGTCCGTACAAAGACTTGATTTTTATCGGTCAATGTCCAGTGTGTGTTGCGTGGATAACCGCTGATGACAGTTTTACCCCACGGCGCCTAAAACCGCCGACGCGCATCTAAAACCGCTGCCGTACTTTGGGTTCGGCACCCAGTTGCAATGTAAGTCATCTCGAATGCGGGAAGAACTGACAATTTGTCAGCAAATTGTCAGCAAATTGTCAGTTCTTCCCGCATTCGAGATGATACTCCCCGAAGGGCAGGCCGCATGAGCAAGTTGATGCGAACTCCAAGTCCATGGTCAAAAACAAACCGACCTATCAGATAGTTGTCTCTGGAGTCTGGGTCTTGCCACCGACACTTGCATCATCACTTGACATGCGTCACTTACCTGATGCTGACGCCATTTACTCGAAGAATTGGTTTACGAACCGGCGACAATCTGTCTTAAGCTGCATTGTCACCATTTTTTTCCATCGATATGCCCACCCTCACACCTAAAACCCAAGTATTTCCAATTCCTAAAAATTATCATCTAGCCCGCTTTAACTCAAACCGCGAGTGACCTTCGACCAGAAGAAAAAAGTCATGTTCAAGCAGAGAGTCCATCATAATATTCCAAATATTTGTATATTGACCTCAGATGGAACTCTACGGACAGCCACGAACTAGTCCGATCTCCTATTCATACCAACTAGAGAGGTCTCTCTGTTTATGCAACCTCTATGCCGTGTCCTTTCCTGGACCCTTACTGCCTAACCGACCATATACCCCGCGTTAGCTTCTGAAGCCGTTCCACCATAAACCTTTCCAGCGCTTTTCCAAGTACTGGATGGAGACTGTTGCGCAAATAAGAACGAGAATCGATTCTGATCTTATCACGGGACTTCAGGAGGGAAAGATTTTAGCTCTTTTTCACTCGCGTGAAAAGTATCCCTCAAAAACGTACTTATTATAAATGGCCTACAGATATTCCCTGATAAACTTCCACATGCTTTTGCACATCTCTACGTTAAGACCATCAAAACTTGGGGATCGTTTAGACTTAACTAGGACAAAGGCGTGCCTAACTCACCAAAGATAACGGAGATACAGGTACCTCTGCATGAGGTGTCTAAACCTCCGACCTGGAAAAGAACCCCCGCACACTCTCGCCGCGATGATAACAGAGTATCCCCGACGCAAAGAGACGTGATATTACCCCCATACGACTCCGGCAGATCCTATAGACCTGACCCAAAAGTGCAAAAGCATAAAAATAATATCTATTTTTTTTTTATCATTCTCGCAGATCATGGAAAGATTATTAAGTCCGTAAATGCCGAATCGGCGGACACAGATGCGAAGGTCTCATCGGTGGTGATTGAGGAAATCGATGTGCTGCCGAAGAGTGAACCGATTAGAAACTTGGAAATTGTGCGCACCATGCAGTATGGTAAGTTCGATTAATTAAGAAATTAAAAAGTAAAAAAAAAAATATAATTCAAATAAATAAGTCGCAACTCAATCTGTTCATATTCCTGCGACTTAAAGCATATTCAGCCACTGCATGTCAAGCATTGATTACATTTGTCGTACTACGAGGAGACTCATTAAAAGTTGCCACATTTTGTTTAACTTTTTATTATATTGTTTTTTGTTATTTTTTTTCTTCTTTACTTTTTCCATTTCACAGACCAACCAAAGGACGGCAGCTACGATGACGGAAAATTAATCATTGTCACCGATAGCCAAGTGATTGCAATACAATTGCATCGCTGTCACGATGAAAAAATCACCAGCTGTAGGTAAGTGTAAAATGATGCTTGCTTTTTGTTGTTTCTTCACAGTTATGTACTTTGACTATTGTCAGTTACTGCAAAGTCAGTGACACATTGAGTTCACCAATGGTTAGCCGTTGCATACTTGCTGGCGCGCAGCAGTTAATTCGTTAAAAAAAGAGCAGTGTAAGGATTTGCAGATGCAGATGCATATTCTTATAAGGGTGGTCGGGATGTTTATCGAAAAAATTGTTTTGAGGCTATGGTAATTAAAGTGATTGAGCTTAGTTCCGAAAATATTTTCTCAACGCCGAAATGTAGACACGTTTTTGCAGACAACTATAGTTTCGTTTTATAGAATTTTCAAATGTGAGTTAGGGACCTTTTAAATCGGTACCTTTTAAATCGGTAGCCAAATATAGGTGAATATGCTTACTTCCGAAAAAGTTTTCTCAACGCCGAAATGTAGGCAACTTTCTTCATATACCTTATGATATTTTTAAGTAATTTTCAATTTCAAGCAAGAGACTTTTGGAAAAGCGTTGCTTGCAACTTTCACCTAAGCTTACTTCCGAGAAAGTTATTCTCAAATCAGACATGTAGGTAAGATTTTCCTAACAAGTTAAGTATTATACAGAATATTTCCACCACAAGTAAAACACTTTCTAAAGATGTCAAAAAAAAGTATTTGCTGTTGTCGAAACATACGTAGTTCCAACAAACAACAAATATTTCTTATTCAACAAATTTTAGAACAAAGTTTCGAAATAGGCTACAAAAAGTTATTGAATACATTATAACTATTGCTCGAAATTATGTAATTTTCTTTTTGACATAAATATATGATTAAATATTATTGAAAAATACTTCTTTCTTGCTGATTATTTTTTTTTATTTTGGAAATTTTCGATTTTAGTCAAATTTTTCAAAATTAATTTTGTCGTTTTCAAAATTAAATATAACAACAGAAATTTACACATCATACCTTTCTTGTATCATCTTTAAATATCGGTAAAACTCAATCTACTACCTTTATTCAATCACCTTTAAATGTTGATAACAGTTTAAATTTTCTGTCAGAATACCACATTTGTTTTCGATGAAACCAAACTTCTCAGATACTTAATAATAAATGTGTTCTATGTTTAGGGATATTTAAGCCAAGAAACATACCACCTTAGTTTATATGTTTTTGTTGTTAAAAGTGCATAAAATATTCCCAAGGTTTTTTGTAGAATGCTGTTCAGGCTTGAGTCATTGGAAAGCTTTACACCCGGATGTCTTTTTAGACACTTTGACCTTACTTACTTGAGAAAAATTTCAAGTTGTTAATGTTACTTGAGTTTACTTAGAATTTCGTTTCCATTTGAACATATTTTAGCTAGGTCTCATGCCTAAATAATAGAGATAATCTGATTCACTGAGTTTAAACAGTATCGCTTCAAATGTATGATAAGTTTTATTATTAGAAACCTAAACGTCATACAATAATACCATTAAGAAGTGTGGCCTACATTTCGGATTATTTTAGCCAAGTCACATACCAACTTACTGTACTTCAGATATTGTTTTTTTTAAGCAACGTAAACTTTTTACACAGTTGTATTTTTGTGAAATGTTGTAATATTCTTTCTCTTGATTAATATTCAAGCCTTTTTGCTAACATCGAGCCAACTTTTTGGCACAACCGTCTCATTGGTAATAACTCATGAATTCGTCTGGAATTTTTTCTAATTTTGAGCACATGTTAGCTAAGTCACATACGAGAAATGGCTGCCGGTAACTTTACACATTCAAAGATACACTCCGCGCCTTTGCATGTATGAATGAGCTCAGAGTTTCAATAAGAATTGTCATTTTGGGCCTTAAGAAACTGATAGAATAGGGCTGTTAGAGACGGTTGTCCATTGTGATGCCCAGAACTCCAAAGTATGGATCAGAAAGACCGTGTCATATCAACAAATTGTCCAGAGTCTGCCACAATATTATATATACCTTAGTCTGGCGAAAGCAAAGTCCATTTGGACACCTATCATTACCGCACTGTGAGCCTTTCTAAGAGCTAGCAGTTCAATAAACCTTTTACGTTCCACTCTGGACTAAAGGGTTTCACAAGTGTTAGTGTCCGAACAGCGCGTGCGAACTCAAGGCCTGTATAGCAGATCTGCTTTCGAAGTGGATACATACTTTCCTAAAAGAATTCGAACTTCGCAGAAGCACAGCTGCTGCTACCTTGTTGGCTTCCACTTCACCGTGAAAGACACTGAAGTGATCTGGCAGTCTGAAAAAGGAGCTGATCGAGAACTGCTGATGCAAGACTCCCCTCTAACCATACATTTTAACTCCGCTGCATCCGCGAAGAAGCTCACTGCGTCTATTCTCCAGTGAGTCAGCCCTAACACCAAAACTAAAAAAAGATTTTTGAACAACTCACGTTTTCAATAATTGCAACTGTACAAAAATGCTGAAGCTAAAACTTTTGAGATAAATTTTTATAATTTTTTTTTTTTTTTTTACTTTTACATACCAATTTTTTTAAAAGTAATAAAGTGTATGTGATTTCAAAAATTATCACCCTAATGACTACATGACATATACTCCATATTTGTATATATACATATTTCATTATTTATATTTAAATTTCCATTGTTCACTACTTTCCTTTACTTCACACTCTCTTCATTGCTCTGCCTTCAAACAACCAAACTCGCCACAGTGAGTGCGTAGCGCTGCAGGATCCATACTGCGCTTGGGATAAAATTGCTGGAAAATGCCGTTCGCATGGTGCGCCACGTTGGCTGGAAGAGAATTATTTCTATCAGAATGTTGCAACCGGGCAACATGCGGCATGCCCATCAGGTAAGTAATATAGTGCAATGCATATTAAAAAGATTTTATAAGTTTGTAATAAAATACATATAGGCATAACTACATAGTTTACCGTAGACTGATATTTATAAACACACACCCAAGATCCCAATTGCCACACATTTGCTTTCGCGTATACTATATATTTCGCTTTACGACAGCAACTCTGTCGGGCATATTTCATGCAGCTGACTGCCCTGAAGTTATATGAAACTCACATATGTATGTGCTGCATACATATTTAATTCGAGAATATAATCCTATATAAAAGCGAAAAATTCAACAATATTAATTTTTGTTATTCTGTCATTATAACAACGTATGCACATTCCCTGAGTATTGCTCGTGTTATCCTCCTGGCAGAGATTTGGCGGCGTGCCAGATAATGGCAAATTGCCAGCAATGTGCTCAAATTAAATTCCACAGTTGGTGTACAAGCGAAATGAAAAGGAGAAAATTATGAATTTAAGCTGAGAATAAGTGTTATTGTGGTAGTCGCTTTGTATGGCTTTCAGTTCACCTGCAACTTTATATATTTAATTGTTCAGATGTCCATATTGTTGAGTGAAACCTGACAGCTGGTTTGAACTACAAAAGGAATGTAAAAGGTAGTATAAAAGAGTTAAATGCCAGATGACTCAGTTATAAGTACTCTCCAATGACCTATCAACATTTTTCGGGTGAGAAAGTGACCTACCAGCATTTGAACTCCTTTATCATAGTTCTAAATGAAGTAAGCTTTGGAAGAAAAAAGTGCAAAACATTGAATCTTAAAGCTTTACGCCATGTGTTTTACGATTATGTTCCTGTAAACCTTGGTTGTTTCAGGTTAAGTAAAGTTAAGGGCCGACCCAAAGTGGATCTGACTTCAACGATATTTTTCTGTAACCCTTGGTTTTTTTTGGGTTAAGTAAAGTTAAGAGGCTGATCCTAACAGTGAATCTCACTTGGAAAGTGTAGAAAGCGCCGGTCCCTTGTGGTATCTAAAACTCCTATTAAATGGATCATAAAGATCATAAGTCCATAAGTCTTGCTTAATTTGATGATTGTTTTAAGAAACTATTCTTCAATGTGATCCACAGACAGAGACCCTATAAAGTATACATATGTATATGATTACAGCGTGATGAGTCTATCTGTCTATCCTCTGTATATACGCGTAGTAGTTCTTCAGCTTTTGATATATCCATCTGAAGTTTCCAACAAGTTTTTTTCTTTCCAAGAACATCCTTATTTGTCGTAACTGCTGTTATCGGATTATTCTTCTTTATTGGCGTAGACACGTGGCGGGTCCCGAAACCGACTCACAACCCTCGGATGGGATGTTAGGCCCTCAACGGATGTTTTTTGGATACATAGACGATAGTTGGTCTAAGACCGGTAGTCGGGAGCTACTTGAGCATATATAAAAGAATCGTTTCTGGCCACTGCAAGGTGAATGGCGCTCAGGGAACTTTCCTCACTCGCATGAACTTCTACACTTGGTTCCATCGTCCTGCTATCGGCTAACTAAACCAAAAAAATGCCATACGAATTGGTTGCTCAAAATCAAGTCCTTGTATGGAAACTTTTTATTTGACGTGATATCTTTAAGAATTTCGGCACAAATTATTTTTGAGTAGTTTGTATGGAGCTTTTTTATTTGATGTTCACTATATTTGGCATAGATCTTTTTTCCAAAGTAACGCCACAACATCCGAAAGAATGGTTCAAATCGAACCACTGTGCCTATACCGAACTATATGTCATTCAAACTGATCAAAAAAGGTGCTTTTGTTCCACTTAAATTTTATTTATAACAAATGTCTATCTTGAGATATTTTCGCGTCCTTAAAATTTCGTTATTTTGAGATCTTTTCTCAACTTTAATTTTTCAATTTTCTGAAGAGTCTGGCATCCGTTCAACATTGACTTTATTCGAGCAGTCAATTTAGCTAAATATAAATCCTAGCGGTCCTCTCAAAGCTACAAGGACTCTTTGGGCGGTAATTTAATTTAAACTATTGAAAAACTGTAGCCTTAAAATGTTAGGGGGCCCCCTAAAAATTGTCATTTGAGGACCTCTTTGACTAGAATGCGATTATTAGTATATCTAATCACAATGCTGGTGGCCGCCTTTAACTTTAGACGTTTCTTAGTTGACTCCTTGATGCCTTCTATCATAAAACTTAAGATTACTTACTTCGTATTGTTAAAGAAGCTGTCTTCGATTTGCCATTTCTCTGCTTGTTAACATTCCGTGATAGAGAGTATGCGAATGCTTCATTAAAGTGGTATAAAGGCTGTCCTCAACGCTACCAAGTTTTGGTTTTGCATATTTTAGACAAGATTTACTAACGCGAATGGTTCAAATGACAAGATATTGTTAAACATGTCTATATAAAGATTTTTCTTTTTTGATTTTAAAAACTCAGCACTTCCAATCAACTATAATTATTTCTTCTTATATGTTTACGTTGTGGAGGCTTATCCCATGGTAGTTGGCGCAGATTGTGGGTCTCCCTTGTGGATTTTGGCTGGAGAAGTGTTCCCTCCACAGTCACTAGATCACCTATGAGGGTTCTGCAAGAGTATGTTCCCGTCTTGAAACCTTATGTTAGTCGTCGCACCTTTTCATAGTATTTACGAGCATTACTCCTGTCGGCAGGTTATCAAACTCTTCGTATTCACATATCTCGGTCTCTCGCTTTTGTCTGCAAATGCGTCTCGCTTTCCTCTTCTACTCTCGGTATCTATTATTATTACCTACAATAATAATAATATGATAATAGTTAATCCCCATTTGAAATATCTTTGCAAAAGCACTTGTGTACCAAAAAACAAAAAATAAAATACAAATAATAACACTTCAAACTAAACATATATACTTTTATATATACTTATTTTTAAGAATCTAAAATTTTTATGCAAATATTTATCTACGTATATTTATCAAAATACCTCCCAAAAAAAAAAAAAAGAAAACACAAAATAAACTTCGAAGACAATAACGGTTTTTATTTTCTCTTTATTTTCGTATCTTATCATTTGTAATCATCACATCGATGCATTTTCATTTTCAACGCACATTCCTCTTACGTTTTTCTTTTCGTATCACCACCACAATAACAAACACTAAAATATTGCATATTTAATACATACAAACATCTCGCCATTTAAAACACTATGCCCCCCGTCTCACCTCTCTTGCACTCTATCATTGCACCGCCTCTATTCTCAGCATACACTCCATTCACATTTGCAGGTAAAATCAATTCCAAGGATGCGAATGTCGGCGAACAGAAAGGCTATCGTGACGATATGGATTTATTGGATTCACGACGCCAAGGCAAAGATCAGGAGATCATCAATATTATGGGGGATAAGAATTTCGAAGGTAAGATGAAAGCAAACGCTTCTCTTTATTTTTATTGAAACTTATTTTGCAACGTATAGTAATAATAATAAAAAGACTAGCCCCAAAACCCAAGTCCAATCCTTTTTTGTACATATGTAAACACTTGTATATGTAATTGTGTTCCGTGTAGATAACTTTCTATGTATTAGTAAATGCTTTTTTTTTTAAATATGCTGTTGTGGTATTTATTTGTGTGCGTATAGGGTGGTCCAAATATTTGCTATTATTTATTATAATTTTTTTGTTTTATATTTTTTCCCAATCAGGCATGTTTTGTCAGGTTTGGCGAAAAAAATGTTGCTATTACAAATTTAAAAAAATTTATAAAGTTTGTTGAAATCTAAAGAAATCGTTGTAAAAAACCTATCAAAAAACAATCCTTTACGATTGAATAGGTTTTATAGAGAGTTAAACAGCGATATGGTTTGTTATGCCATTCTTAATATCCATGGAGCAGATCTGAGCATTACCTACGATCTCGAATTTTCGGGAATGACAAAAGTTTCAAGTTTTTAATGATAATAAATATATAAAACAATGCTAATATAAATTTCGACTTCTGCACTTTTAAAAGTTTAGCTATATAATACATGTTTCTAATCCTGAGTTTTTAAGACCTTATCACTCCATATTAGTATAAGTTATGAGCTAAATGTAACTTGCCATGCACAGAAAGATTTTACACTGGGAAATAATTGGAGTACTGCTATCTTTCTTTTCTTTTTACCTGACAAACAAATCATCCATATCACGCTAACAAATCTAACATTTAAATCGGGTTTTTAAAAAAAATTTCAACATATTTATATACTTTTGGGTGGCAGAAGTAATGCCCTACCTAATATATTTCCATATTTGTCAACATCTGTGAATTTTTTGCTCTCCAGTTCTTGACAACATCCCTACTGCACGATTATGAGCGATTAGTAGTCTAACTCTAATTTCGAAATAATGTGGCGCATTGCTTTTAGTGCCCCCTGAAAGCATACTACACGAAATGATCAACATAATGTGCTGCATGCAGATTAGTGAGGCCGACCGAAAACTAGCTATAAATTTTTTAAAACTGAAACGATTTCAATAATATTGATATCAATTTAAAGGTAATCCCTAATAGTGTTAATAACTCAATCCTCACAGTTTCACTGACTCACACACATAGATTTACAAGAAGAAGTTTTTCACGAAGAAGCTTTTTCAGCTCTCAAGAAATCAGAATATCCGCGTTAACTGACAGACTAATAGAAGTCTTGTTTTTAATCTAGAAATTTGCAAAACTGCAAAGAATAAAAAAGATATTTTAATATAGATTTAAATTATACCACAAAAAAATTGTTGTATTTTTCAGAAAGAAGTAATAGTTAAAAATATTAACAGGCTTTGGAATTTTAAACCAGTCTTGTTCGGTAATATTAAAATAAAAATTAAAGTTTTTTTCAAGTTTGACATGTAAACGATATAATAATTTAGTTTTTTTTTTTTTTTTTTTT